CCCCTGTGCTTTTTTAACAACAACAAAACATGCAAATATAAATGGTTATTGATAATAAATAATCTTAATCTTATTTACAGAAGGGTCCTCTATTAAGATTAAACAAAAGCAAATCTGGGAAAAATGAACTGGATTGTAATAAACTAATATACAACTATACAGAACTAAAAATATAAACGTATTAATAGATAAGAACAAAAGGAGACAATATTAAAAAAGCTATGCATTATACTTACTACAATAAAAGAAAAATTAAACTTCGGCTTTGAAATTGCCACTTTTAAATGTCTCAATGGTTGGCGATTCTCTAAGCGTAAGGCCTAAGGAGTTCCACATATCTGCAGCAAAATTTAGAGTGTTCCAATACCGCCATCTTCTATGAGCCGATGGTTTCCGAATATTATGCTTATATCTAGTATTACAATTTAAACGAGTGCATAAAGAGATTTTTAATTGACTTGTAAGCGAAAATAGCGCGGTGTTCTGCCCTTCGCCTATGTAAAGGTTCCCGATGGAGCGTCGCTCTTGAGAACATGTTGTTCATCATACAAGGAAGACGAGGGAAACGATTTTGTAATTGTGGCGTATTTTATTTTACAGCTTGTGGAGGGATCTTCAATGGCACTGCAGGTGAAATCAATGCAACAAACACATACTATTTAGGATATTGTTATTGGGAAATCCAGTCACCGTTAGTGAACTCAAGTATACTTCTAGTTGTTGAACATTTCCAATCGCGGTATTGCAGGTAAGAACCTTTGATTATTGCATTGTTGTCATGATCTTACTCCCACGCGTTATTACTAGTTTTAGCCGATCGCGATATGAATCCAAAAAAAACCAGGCCAAAGCGACAATCTTATGCTTTGTATTTAAGGGCTGTCGTAAATCATGTTACCAGAATGTCCTCCGCGACATTAACATCAGCAAGATTTGGGTTCACGAAATTGCTTTACTTCTCTATAAGAACACAAACCTACCACAAAGCTAGATTAACATGTGATCACAAGCAGTATTAACAAACTGACCTAAATTCAACTACGCTACCAAAATATATACGCCACGTGCAAATGCAAAACTGTACAAACTATGAAGCCTGTGAAAACCCAATAACGACTAATTAAGTACTTCTCGCACTTGTTTTTCTATGAGCTGTTTAGCCCTTTATTTCAAAATTGTTGTTTACGCTCCAGACCTACAATCACGATATTCTTTCAATCTCATCATAAACCAGTATGGTTGCCTACTTAATTAGCAAGATTCTGTGTCACACCAATGCGTCGGAATCGACAAGAGTTATTTTTTCTGTGGATGGTTTCTTATCAAAACCAAGAAGTGAAATTCCATTGATTTCTAGTAGACAAGCATTGCGTTTATTGCAAACTCGCGAGTGTTTGGTTTCTGCCTCTTCACCTATTCACTGTTAAACCACTATCGTGTATTCGTTGCTACTGAAAGTTCCACCACCCTTTAAGCCCTGGCCAAACGGACTCGTAAGTAGTCGCAAGTAGCGGCAAGTTGAACTTGCGTAGATGCTTGCGGTGGGTGGCCAAACAGGTTCGCAAGTTTTCCCGCTAGTACACTCAAGTCGCCAAAAAAACAAAAACAAAAACAAAAAAATTCAAGGCAGACATATCCTGTGTTTCATTGGCTAATGATAGGTCAACTTGCGTTGACTTGGGTCGGCTGACCAAACGGTGAAAAAGTTGCGTCGACTTGCATGCAAATTTGATATCGACCGAAGTGAAGTAGACCCAAGTTTTCAACGTGCGTCTCAGTATTTGCAAGTTCGTTTCGCCAGGGCTTTAAGGCGATGGACGATGCTGTAGGCTGAGTTGAATTAAATAGTCAAATACAGTGGATTACTTTTGTTTCTTCCTGCTGTATTTTAGGTATGGTTCAGTTGTAACTGGTAACGGCCAACGTGGGTACTTTTGTGGTCAAAAGGAACCATTTGCACTTCTGGTTTCGGGAAGCTATGCCCTTGTCAGACTCAACAGTTATTATTATTATTATTATTATTATTATTATCGGACGTCATTGAAGGCTTTCTATGTTGTGATGAACAATGGTAAGTTAACCGTTAGACTAATAGAGTACTGTTAAGACATGTCGGTTAATCAAGCACAATACTATTTTGTAAGAAACAATTTGGATCACCTTCAACGAGGGGCGCCAATAGTGCAAACTGGGAAACGTGCCATTAACTCAATTAGTTCAATTAGCTCTAATCAATTAGCTCTAATCGTTTCAACAAAAAAGACCGATTTCCTTTTAATAACACTACTCTTCACTATATTTAATTAAAAGGTATGACAGAACGGAAGAACCGTACAATGAGAAAAAGTCTTGATAAATAACATTTTGTTTATCCTGATTGTCAACAAACTTAGTAATGTCTACGGCAGTTTGTTCTTCGCCTTCCGCATTTTATCATCTGGAAGTACAGAATGAGTTACAAAACTTCCAGGCCTTATCTCTTCAAGCCATTTAATCTCTTTTTGCAGCTCAACTTCGTTTTTACCAGGAGTATTAAAACTTAATGTTTCCTGTCTCATTTGCGTGTTTTAGCGCTACACAGATTGCAAAAGATTAAATTAACATTTACTTTTTCTCCTGACGATACAACTTGCGCTTAAATGATGTGCCTTCGGCCAATCAGGGGGGAGTATTTGGGATGGCAGTATTGTGAGGCAGGAGAACGCCTGACATTTTTGCCTTCAGCCATTAATTTTCCGTTACTTAGAGGGGACAGAATGTCTCATTATAGGATCAAACAACAGAAACGAAAATATGGTTTGGAGGACTGATTTCAGAAATTATGAATGTTAATGAGACAGGCAGTGAAGATATACTAAAGCAGACTTATCAGAGAATAAAAGGAAAACTAAGGGTGGGTTAGTTGTTCTACAACAAGGAGAACAGCATCTCTTTAAAGAAGTGATCGGTTCGTCACCAGCCTTATGATAGCTATGTCAAGAAATTCTTCACAAAATAGCTGTTTGCCAGTGTGTTAAAATTTATCTTTGTCATACAACTGGGTATGTATCAGCTAAAGGGTAAAGCGTTAAAAGTAAAATGTTTCGGTCAAATCTACCTCCTTACACTATTTGCTAATTTTTCAGTTTCACATGAACACAGCTGGGACGTCACAATCAGCAATATAAGTCCTACAACGGTCGTTGTCAGCTGGTTACCTTTAAATGGCAGCAGTTTAAATTCCACTGACATATATGGCTATGTAGCTGTTTGCTTGCACAGTGTTAGCAGTGACGTTCTTCTGTTGAGTGTAGAAAATGCTTCATCTTCCAATACCGTGGTGCGCAATCTGAAATCCTACAGGAACTACAAAGTCAAGGTCGTTGCTCTCCTCAAAGATCGAGTGACTGGTGTAATAACCTTGAAAGGCAGCGAGGAAACTGACTTTCGTACCAAAGAGGGCGGTACGTAATTTTAATATTGCTAAGTTATTGTATTTAAATTGCGGGTTCAATTAATTCCAATTTTCCTCTGAAGAATGGTGAGTGAAGAACAGGGGAAGAAAAAGTTGCAATGGGCAAAAATATGATACCATACTGAACTGAAATAAATATTATTTATCCCCTGAGTGGGATTTCAAGACGCGTTCCAGGCCCTATTAATCAGTCCGGTGGGATCACCACTACGCTATCAGGACTAATATCATATGCTTGAAATACGACTAATTGTTAAAAGTACTGAACGGAGAATCCGTGATCCTCCCTGGCAAGTATTTCATCTTTCAATCCGATAACACTTGATTGACATTAGTTTTACCACTTTCTAAATTGAGATGAATCACGAAGGTTTCAGCATGAGAACAACTTTAGTCGTTTTTACTCTGAAAATGTCATTTTCTGTGTATAGGTAGGACATTGACTTTTACTTCTTCGCTCACTCCTTCCTTCCGTCGTTCGATTCCTGCTAACCTTTTAGTAACTCCGCTGACCGGTATATAAAGCGGTGGCCGTTGGTTGCCCACAAGTCGGAAAAGATTTATTCACCAAGTGATATGTTTCTGTGGCAATGTTTCTTATTCGTGGATCATTTCTACACGGTCGACAGCGTGTGTGTTTTAGCTTGAAGTTCTCACTGTTAAACCAATTCAATGCTGTTCAAGGGAAGTAGCGCCGCTTCCGTTAATTTTTCTTCGGAAAGCAAACCGGCTGTGTTTTGGTAAATGTTCTGTTTAAGCATTGGAAAGGCAAAGGCTGTGTTTCGGTAAACTATTTTTAGCAAAAAAAGAGATTGGCTAAGCGCAGTAGGAGTCGATCTCACATCCTCTCGCTAGTCGGGGGGTCACCTACTCCACTGCGCCACATCGACATCTGCAGAATATCCGTGAAACATATTCATTATATTGCTTTCTACAAAAACGCTGGTTGTTAGAACAGCAAGCGTAAGGGTCGCGCGAAAGTCGTACGAGTCGATAGCTTATCCTTCAATTAAGTCGTTGCTGAGCTTGTTCAAGCGGAGTCGAATTACTGTCTTTCTGGTAATGTTTCTCATCCGTGCTGATTCGTGGATCTGTTTGGATGTTTAACAATGGCGTCATTCGTCACTCAATGGAGCTGGAGTAGTGGGAGACTGTACATTTCGATGTAAGCTTAATTTCGAACGACTACGTTCGGACATAAGCTATGAATGGACTCCGATCCAGTTATTTAATTTATACAAAAACTCCATTCTCAGCCTTTCATAAATCATTATCCGACTTCAGTGGCTCACAGCCACTTTGATTCGTAAATTGTTTAGACTGTACAGAAAGTATGTTTTGTGTTTTTGTGTCAGTTTTTTTTAAACTTGACTTTTTATATTTTATTTTCTGATTTCAGCGGCTCACAGCCACTTTGATTATAGAAAGCAGCATTTGCACGCTGGCAAATTTAATTGGTAGACAAATTTTTGAGCGGCGAAGCCGTGAAGCGCAGAGATACCGTATAAAAACGCTCCCAACCTCCAGTCATTAATCATTTTATTCTTCTGCCGAACTTGAAAATGACTGTTGATCAGTCGACACGTCGTTCTTTTATAGCGTTAGTTTTGATCACGAGAGATATGCTTTTTACCAGTTTAAAGCTACAGGAAATTTCACATACCGTAAAGTCCCAAAAGCTACAGTGCTCGTTACTTTTGCAGTAAGGGACCTTTTGCTGGTGCTATTTTTGGAGGGTCGTAACTTTCGGGAGCTTACACCTTTCGGGTAGCTATATACCTGTATGTAGGTCGATCGATGTCTAATAGAAAAAATTCTCATCCTTCTTTACGAAAGCAATCAGTCTTCTTTTTAAAAAAGAAGTATAACGTTTGAAAACTCGTACGCCGTTCTTAATCTCGTACCTAAAGGTCCTTAATATATTGCCTGTGGAATAATGGATATTTAAACAAATCAGTCCAGTGCGCCTGTTATTGTTGTTGTTATTGTTTCTTAATTCAAGTTACGTTTCACGTTGCTACTTCGCTACTTTCGTAGCGTCGTTGCCAAGGGCCGCCACTTTCGGGATTCGCTAACAAGAGGAAATGTTTTTTCGCTACACGTGCTTTCTGGCTGGCATTACTTTCTGAAAGTCATTACTTTTCTAACTTTTCTAACTTTTACCCTCATAAATGTTTTATTTCAATAGATCTTAAAGCGTGTTTACAAACATTGTCCGAGCTGAATATCTCTTTCCTTATTTCCGGAGTATATTGTTAAATGAAAATGCCATCAAATATACAAATAAATTGCGTAAATAATTCGCAGAACAAAATATATTACAATTAGAAGTACAGACTGAAAGGATAGAAGTGGATTACAGTTCAATCTATTTGCCTTCCCCACTTTTGTCATTTTTTCTTTCTTCTTAATGAAGCAAGTTTATAGCGAGCTAGTGGTCATACATATTTCAAAACATGACATATCAGCCAGGACACTGTCCGTTATTAAAAAGCCTAGAACTACGTTTAACTGTAGCAGGCAGAACCCCTTTACAGCGGAAATTATTTCTGGTCGTACTACTTTTAAAAACTTGGTATTTTTGACTTAGTTTTGCATTCCTTAAGCTTACGGTTTATAGCGCCAGGACATTCCAAACAACCAATGAAATTTGCGGAGCTCCAGGTTCCGAGAGGGCTGCCAACCGGAGCACCATACTCATGGGAACCCATAAATTGTCTTTCTCACCGTCATCATAGCTAGTGGTATAGCTTGTGCGCGCGTACGCACGCATCATGGCGGCCATACTCCAGTTTTTAGGTCGACTGGAACATGCAGCCTCGGTTTAAAACGTTCATCTTTTATATTGGACATCAATGTCGAGTTAAGGTCAATTGACACCTTTCAAAACAAGGTATCTGCTCACGAGTATCATTTGTCCATATTGTGGGCTCAGGTTTAGAGCTCATCGAGGTCACGCTTTTTTTTTTTTTTTTAAGTTGGCTACTGTCCAGGTACTGGTTTTCGACTGGATCGGAGACTCAAGTCAGGTTAACATTTTGGAATCAGGAGCTCCGTTTTTAGGCTTGGCTAAATCTATATTTTATTTCAAGTTAATCGAATATTGTATGACCAAAGGTTTTCATGTCAGTACATTTTTAACTAACTGCACCGCTTATAATTCTTTTACAGTGCCCGCAGCAGCACCGCGGCTTAATACCGTTGTGGCCTTGGACAATCAGAGAGCTTTTGTAAGCTGGTTTACATTACCACAAGATGAGTTCGGGGCATTATTTCTTCGAGGTTACAGAGTGCATTACTTATCTTACAGAAACTATCAAACTAGAAATGTCACTGCGCGACCAGACCAGCTGCAGGTTGAATTGACTGACTTAGATCCAGACACTTGGTATAGCATATGGATAACGGCGTTTACAACTATGGGAGAAGGTCCACGGTCGTATAGCTATTGGATCAAAAGTTGTAAGTGAAGTCCAGCCAGTTTTTTGTAAATTTGTCTTCGATTTTCGGATTAATTTCTGGGGCGTTCATAGAAAATAGCTGATTGTTCTTATAATTTTTTTAGGGCCAGATAGCTTTGTTTTGTTCTTGAAATATATTTTTTGTGGTTTAAGGGTGTGGATGGTCAATTTCTAATCGGTCTGGCGAAATTGTCTCTCCTGGGTTCCCTCACTACGTTGAAGCTAGTGATTGTGCGTGGAGCTACTTTGCCCCTGACAACTACACGATACTTCTGATCACGTTCACAAGTTTTAATTTACCTTCTTCGTGGAACTGCAGGTAAGAAAATTTTCCATTCTTGTAAATTTTGATTGTCTTCTTGTTGACACGAACCAAAGCATGTGGTATGAATTGAAGCAAGCAAGTTGGAAGTTTAAATATTGTCTTGGAGGGTAAAATTTTATATAGGCATGCAAACAGTTCACCTGTTTCAATGAAACCATTCATTTGCTGCTGCTTGTTTGAACAGGAATAGATCCACTTTACTCATTTTCAGCAAGGCGACAGAGTAGCCTAGTTTCTTCCAAATTAAAAAAATAAAATACATTATCTAAATTTGACTCTTTCCTAGAATCGTGTTCGTTCAGATAATCGAGTTTACATGGCTCTCAGCTTTAGCTTGGAAACTCCAAGTTGTCGGTATGAATGGGAAATTCACTCGATACTTTCTTCGCTCCTGCGCTTCCTGTTAACAAACTAAATAAAGTGCAAAGCCGTGAACGAAGATCGTGCTTGATTGAACGTTGGATCTCACAGTAGATCTAATTGGCCAAACTTGAAAAGTAACTGAACGATGATAAGTCAAAGACTACTGCAAGGCTGACACAAAGTTATCTATTTCAAACGTCAGACCAGGCTCCTTCAGGTTTAGATGTATATTATGGTGGATGTCGCAACACATACATACCTCTTACAAACCGAGTTCGAGGGCCGTACTGTAAGTTACGGACCGAGTATTTTCCCCATCGATTTACTGCCTGGGGCAGCATTTTCAAGACCTCAGTCACAGTTTTTCACTATACAGACCTCCCAGCTGGCCAATAACATATATATCTCTATTGTGTGTGTCTGACGGATTCGGGAACGATTTCTTTTCACTCGGAACGGCTTCAAATTTCTGACGCACCTCGAAAGCAAAAAGAGTCGATTTGAAATCGTTGCCAAGTGACTCGTAAGTCGTTAGCAGATTTTAATGCACAATTTCACGACACATTTTGGCAACAAAAACAGCTTTAAATTTTAGCGGACCGTAAAGTAGAATACGACCCGCTAAACTGACCAATCATTAGCTAAGAATAGCTAACTTAGCTTTGGTGATCGGCGGATAAGAAGCCGTAATTTCTTTGTGATAGCGTCTCGGATAAGGGTTACCGATAACTTCATGAATGTTTTTAACGGTGCCGCATCCCCTTATGTATTCTCTTACTGTTACGTTTTGCACTATTTCTTAAAGGAGAACTGAAGCCAATATTCAATACTTTTTTATATTGTATTTTTAAGAAGTCTAAGACATGTAAAACCAAGTTTCGGTGGTTATTTGTGTCTGTTGCGTTTCTTTTCTTCGATAATTTGGTTTAAAGTTGAGTTTTTCCCGCTTTTTGAGCTTAAACACTGTGGGCTCGTAGTTATTGTCAGCGGCTTGTAGCAGTAAGTTGTGACGTATGATATGGGGAAGCTTGTTTATTTTGTAACAGATGGCAACACAAATCTTTGTATTTTCTGGGGATTTATTCACCTATTTATTGCCCACTTGATCGTAACCATGAGCGTACAACCGTTTCTTTTCGAGCCTACATATTCTCCTGGTGAAGAACCGAGCGGGACCCCATCGTAAATAGGCAAGTATGCCTTCTGTAATGTCAGTTTAATTTGTTTTTTCCCCAACCTCAGTTATCGTGCACTGTAGTGATGGTAATGGTTCCCATTCGATCTGTAGAACATGGCGCTTAGCAGCATACCGTCAGTTCACCTGGTGGGTTCATGGTGCACTGGGGAAGAAAAACCGGCGAGTGATTCCAGCGTGCGTTGTGAACGCCATTCGTAGAGAATTTCCCGAAGAAAGTGGCTACTATGAAGGTTTCAAGGCACCAGAACTGGATCTGAATTAATTACAAACAATCTTGAACTTTGCATGATCATGAAAACTGAACTGGTTTATAATTGAAAAAACGTTACTCTGGTTTAAAATGTAAAAATGGTAGTAAAAATTCTTTTTGTAAAAGTCCCANATGGCAACACAAATCTTTGTATTTTCTGGGGATTTATTCACCTATTTATTGCCCACTTGATCGTAACCATGAGCGTACAACCGTTTCTTTTCGAGCCTACATATCCTCCTGGTGAAGAACCGAGCAACTCACAAGGGGAAGACGAGGAAGAAGGCGGTGAACTCGACGAAAATGGTTCGCGAATCGGTTCGACACAATGGTGTAGTTGCGGGGGTTGTGAAACAATGCCTACTGATGATGAATGTTTCTGTTGTCAAGAACTTGAGGGGCTAAATCAAAAGTTCGATGAATCAGGTTTGATTTTGCCACTATTTCTTTTTGAATGCTCACTCGTTAAACAGCGAGAAAATGAAGTATCAGCTTTCGCTGTGTTTTCATGTTCTTTTTTTGAAAGGTGTCAATTGCATGACAGATCATGCAAAGTTCAGGATTGTTTGTTTGGATACTGATGTTCTAAATACGGCACTTGTGGCAATTCATAACGCACGCTGTAATCCCTTGCCAGACCCCATCGTAAATAGGCAAGTATGCCTTCTGTAGTGTCAGTTTAATTTGTTTTGTCCCCAACCTCAGTTACCGTGCACTGTAGTGATGGTAATGGTTTCCCATTCGATCTGTAGAACATGGCGATTAGCAGCATACCNACTGGCATCCAACATCAACACCCTCCTTTGGTAGATTGACCTGAATTTCTTGATCTTGAGACTGAACCAGCACAGCATTATCAGGATCTATGTCTACTGATTCGGTTGGTGTAGATTCACTTGGTTGAGGTTCATTAAATCCAGCAGGTGGGTCCAGTAGCATGGGACTAGCATTACTAACAGAGGCAAGATACTGCAAGCAAACAGTATACATATATCTGTAAAGCCATACATTAAATTATTCACGTGTCGCTAATTTTTAGTAAGAGTAGGAGAAGAGGAATGGAAATACAGTACAGTCAAAGGTTTCGGGATTGCATTTGAAAGAATAAGTCTTTATTTAATTTTTTTTTAAAATTAAATTTCAGTTGATTTCATTTTCTGGAACAGCTGAATTTTGATTTCAAGGGATTTCAAGGGATTTCAAGTTAAATCAATTTCAGTTGATTTCATTTTCTGGAACAGCTGAATTTTGATTTCAAGGGAAGAATCCAAATTAACTCGCCTTTCTTAATACATCTTAAATAATTAAATCTTGTGTTGTTGTTTTTGTTTTTTTTTCCAATTATTGGCCCCGGGGAAACTACACGTCTCATGGTGGTGTATTTAGGAGTCATGCAACCTCAGAGTGAATGTATCGAGGCTTGATTACACAAAATTGAAACAGCTCCATGATATATTAGCCCTTCAGTGTGAATAACTGATAAAACAAAGGTCTTACCTCTTGTCTGGTTTTCTCCAGAGAACGTCTCTCAGACGATAGTCTTGGTTTTTTGGGTGGTGGTCTATGTGAGAATAGAGAGGGTATAGCATCTGGTTTCAAGATGGCTTTTGGTTTGGAGCCGAGTAACTCTGCCTTTAAGTCACGCTCGTAACAATCGGGCGCGAAATGTTCCGAACACAACCTTGAGTGTTTAGAAATGACGAGATCAACACGGGAGATTTTTGCCAACCACTGTTCTCTGATAGATGGGTCACTTGGAAAACAATGATACGATATACCAGTAGTAAATCGTGAGTCGTTATTGCAGTCAAAGGCCGCGCAGTACACCATGATGAGACCGAGAGATCCGAAATGATGCACTAGAGCTAAGGAGTCTACATTTATGCGGGTTCCTTACGTAAGACCGGAAAATATACTGCGTAAATAAAAAGTCAACCAAAGTCCATTGCAGATTTCGAAATTTTATTTCCTCTGTTATCATCTGACATCTGGCATCATGGAGACCTCCGCGCGATCTTAGCACTTCGATCATAACTTGCTTTACTCTGCAAAACAAAGCGGATCTGCGGAATATAACGTGTAGGATCAGGAAAAAAAACATTTATACTCTGCAAAATGTTCATATGCTTTCTGTTAATGGTCAAAAAGAGTAAACACATGACATTTTCAGTACAATTGCAGAATGTTTTGCAATCACTTGGCTAATGAGCTTATGTACGTGTTTTCGACATTCGATTCCCAACGTGGGCGAGTGAGATCCGTCAATTGAAAATGGACTAAACTTACACAATACCTAAAGGAGTTGAATATTATTTGTGGACCCTTTAGCCGTCTTTCCCTTCGCAAAATTTGTTTCTTCTCCTTGTACCTCGCCGCAAGTGCATACAAGGCTCTCTGGCAATGTTTACTTTCTTCCCCATATCATACGTCATAAGCTTCAGTACGAACCGCTGACACAAGCTTTCCGAGGCGCCGCACAAGAACCAAATAAGCAGTAAAAACCTTAGATTTTTGGCGTGAAAAAATTTGTTTGCGAGGAAAAAAAATAACGAGCATTGTTTCATATAGTATAATAATTAAATATAAATAACAAAAACTTGCTTGAATTTTGGCTTCAGTTCTTCTTTAACAATGCCTCGATAATTAAATGATATACGACCGACGGATTACAAACCAATGTTTACCGACAATCCATTCCCAAGTTGATTGGCTCATAGCCACAGTAATTACTATATTTTGAGTAAACATAAGTCTGTCCTTTTTTTTATGTAGTAAAGTTGAAACTATTTGTTTTTTTCCCACAGTCGTTTTTATCTTGACATCCAGAAAGGACAGGAAGTAGATAGGATATGCGGCTCAAGGACGGGATTATCAATTCTATCGGGCGGTTCGTCCTTGTTGCTGCGTTACCACTCGGATCGTTTTACAAATATGGTACCCGGCTTCCAAGCCAAATATTACATGCTTAACGGCTCATTAAGCAAAGGTCAGTCCTCCAAATTTCTGATAACCTGAGTAGAAAATAAGTAATTAATCGCTTTCATTGCAATATCAGAGATCTGCCTGCCGAATTGTTAGCGTTTCAAACTGTTATTGCCTAAATGGAGACAAAAAGAATGACGGACTGGGTAACACTGATTGATTCTTTTTATTACCCTTTATTCGGGGCATGAAATCATTTGCAGTATTTATAACCTCCTTTCTATCACATTGTTGTTAAACGCAACCGAATGGGTGTAAATTATGGTGGAGGATATCGGCGACAAGGCATTTAGAAAAGCAGATACAAGGGTATTTTAAACGTTAGGGAGTATTTTAAGTAAGTTATGTGGGAAGCCTTTTTCAGCAGGAGATATAATAAAAGTGAATGTATGAAAGATCATACATTTGGACTGCAGAGAAATAAATGAAGACATGATTGATCATCGCAGTTATACATGTATACATAGCTTGGGCAGCTGTAAAATTAAAGCCTAAACAGAAATAATTCAGGCTTGAACGGGATTCGAACCCGAGACCTCTGTGATACCGTTGCAGTGCTCTACCAACTGAACTTCCAATCCTACTAGTAGCTGGTCAGCTTGTGACTTCGTAATATACCCGTGATGGCGAAGATACAAGGGATATATGAAAGATCATATATTTGAGCCGCCGAGAAAGATATGAAGACATGATTGATCGTCACAGTTATATACACAGCTTGAGCAGCTGCGACACAGTTGTTCTATTCACAGCTGCTCAAACTTCGTATTTAACTGCGATGGTCAATCACGTCTCCATAAGATACAATGTTGATGACCAGAATTATTAACGTTTTTACTGTTACCAGTGGAAGGGATTGAACTCTACCCGCATAATCATCTTCTGCCTAAGACAGCCCTTGGCCGTATTTTAGTTGTAGAGACACGACGACAAAAAGGCTTGCTAAAGAAAACGGTTAATAGTGAAGCTGTGATGTCATTTAATTAAAAGTGTTCAAACTCTTCGAGATAAGCACATCAAGTAATTTAAAATTATACGTAAGAGAGCATTTTCTTCATTTGTCAAGGTAACGGGAAGTAAATTAATGTCGAAGAGGTATACTCGATACGGTAACAGAGGGCTTGCTAGAATATTTCGAGAAGCTAGATCTTCTGGGAATCTTCCAAACGACTGTGAAACGTTAGTCTTACACAATGGTAAATTGCCGTGTCAAGAGAAAGATAATATTATAGACAATGAAAGCATCATATCTAGAAATAGTAATACTGTTAAGATATCTTTGTAACACGAGTGGACTAAATCTCGTCCATTTGATTTTCTTGTACTACAGCCCCTCAGTTAAATGGCTGGAACATTACTGTCGATAGCATTACCTCAACAACAATATCAGTAAAATGGTCCAGCGTGACACATGCCATATCGGTTCAGGATTTGCTTGTTTTCGTGGCTGTTTGTACTGCTACTGGAATAAACGACACATCGCGTCTAGCTACAGCTAATGTTTCCTCTTCAAATGTACTGGTGGGAACGCTTAAGCCTTATACAGAGTATCAGGTTCAAGTCGTGGCCCTGGTCAAAGGGCAGACCAATCGTACAATTGCAATGAGAAGCAGCAGTGTTGTTCTGCTTCGAACAAAGGAAGATGGTGAGTTTTTCACTATTAAGGTTGCCATAAATTCTATGATTTTCCTTTCAAAAGGTATGTATTTAATATAGCTTAAAAACAAACAACAGCTAAGGCTGAGACGGATAACGCAACCTCCCACCCCCGGGGAAGGGAAGTACTCCCTTAGATGGACTATATGAGTATGTGCGGCCTCGAAAGAGTATGGTTTTTGAGCGGTTTTGGTCCAAAAAACGGTATGTTTTTCACTCTTGCTTGGCATTGCGGGTGGGCTCCTGGCAATGCATTGGGTATTTTGTCTATAAGNCTAATGTGTCCTCTTCAAATGTACTGGTGGGAACGCTTAAGCCTTATACAGAGTATCAGGTTCAAGTTGTGGCCCTGGTCAAAGGGCAGACCAATCGTACAATTGCAATGAGAAGCAGCAGTGTTGTTCTGCTTCGAACAGAGGAAGATGGTGAGTTTTCACTTATAGTTTAAGAACTAACAACAGCTAAGGCTGAGGCAATATAAGTACGTGCGGCCTCAAAGAGTATGGTTCTTGAGCGGTTTTGGTCCAAAAAAGGGTATGTTTTTCGCTCTGGATTGGCATTGCGGGTGGGCTCCTGGCAATGCATTGGGTATTTCGTTTATAAGGAGCTATTTTTTTTCTGCATGAGCATCGGCAGATTTGTAGCCCTTTTCAAATGTTTACTCAAATGGAAGCCATTTCTTGATAGCTGCAGTTTTGTATTAGGACCTTTTACTAATTTTAGAGGTCTAAAATAGGGTATCAATTTTTCGCTTAGGCGTGAAAAAGAGTATGGACAAGCATAGATTTTGGTCTGAAATAGGGTACAAGTTTCAAGGCTGGAGTCACCCATCCCCACCAAAAACTTTGAGGAGTACCCCCCGGGACGCAAATAAACATTGCAGTAATCTAGTGTTAAACACACTACATGCAAAGACAAAAAAAGCTGAATCCGGTTCTTTTCAAAGTATCTTTACGAAATGTACAAAAGTATGTGTTCTCGAAGCAAAACTGTATTTAACTCTTGCTTGTAGACCAATGATCGATAGCTACTCTTTTATCCATCCACAGTTCCTTCAAAACCTCCTGATAATATAACTGCTTACAGCACTAGTTCTACTAGTATTGTTATTACATGGTCTCCCATAAGTGAAAAAGACGCAATGGGAAAACTCTTGGGATACCTGGTGCAGTATAAGGAAGCATGGACACCGGAAAGCTATAACAACATTTCTCTCCAGGCGACAGCTGTATCTGCGGTGATTAAAGGGCTGAAAGTGTTAACATTGTACAGGATCCAGATTGCTGGTTTTACTAGTGCTGGCGTTGGAGTCCAAAGTAGGCCACAGTATGCAAAAACAGGTACTATTTAATTGGCAACGATGCTTATTTATTCAATGTCGAATCTGGAAATTTAGTTTAAATGTCACTGAGTTATACATTCGAAAATTATAAGCCTGTGGAACTTTTAGTAGGCACATCATCGCAGTTGTGAACGCAGCTTAGAGAGTATTAAGGCTTAAACGGAATTTGGGATTCGAACTTTTGACCTTTGTGATACTGATACATCGCTCTACAGACTGATCTATCGAGTTAACTGAGAGCTGGTCATTTTTTGAGTTCCTAATACACCCATACGTGATGAGGACACGCACAAAGTAAATATATGACAATGAATGCAATGCAAACGATGCCCTTAGCCTACTCTTTCCAAACGTTCTGTTATTTCAATGATTCTCGAAAATCTTCCTTCACCTAAAGGCGGAAGTATGTCAAAACCGTAAAGGTAATGCACATGTTGTTTCGAGTGAGATCCCTTTACTGGCCCAAGTGGTAACTACTCTAATGTACTAGCATCTCCGGAACCATCCGCCGTAATGTGATGGAGAAAGTCGTATAACAAGCACTATAACGGGTTTGCTCGCATCTCTAAACCCTGTTCTGTGATGTTTTCAGGCTGTCTGTTTTTCGTACCCAACGAGGTATCAGAGTTAACCAGTCCAAACTACCCGAACAAGTATCCGAGTAATTCAAACTGCACCTGGATAATAGGTCAAGGGATGGATTTAACAGAGGCAAAGATCATAGTGCTATTTGACTACTTTCATACAGAGGGCCTTGGCACTCCTTGCAGGTAACTTTTCGGTCAGTGGCTTACGTACCTAAAGAAGTTTTCAAGTTCAATNTTCATGCCCTAGCCTATCTACCATGAAAATATGAGCGAAATCGAATTTTCGACCCTTGCCGAGTTATTTTCCATTTTTATGGACAGGGACTCTTAACGATGATGTGAAAGTTCTTCTTTTCGTCCAATTTTGCAGTTCTGATTTCGTTCAAGTGAGTGACAGTTCCCAAAGTTTAAAATGGACATTCTGTGGGAAAATATCACCGTTTGCAGTCAGCGTCAGTCAAAGTTATGTCACTGTACGCCTGAATTCAGACAATGGAATAGAGGAAAATGGTTTCCATGCTCGTTACCTTGTTGTAAGGAATGCAGTAAATCTTGGTAAGAAGTCTATACCAGGTATGATAGTACTTAAGAGCAGCTTCCCCTAGATATCAGCTGGACTTGGAAATAGCGGAAAAATCGAATTTTTTCAAACTCGCCCAGAATGAAGTCTTACGGGCACTAGTTATAAAATATTGTTTTAAGTTCGATAAACCAAAATTTATTTTTCATGCAATTTTTTTCGATTCCACAAATCAGCCAAAATCGGTTGAAAATGAGAAACATATTCAGAAGCTCGTAAACGGAAATTACAAATATTTATTACAAACTGATTGCACGTCGTATTTGTACTTCCTTTCTTGTATGTTTGGAGCCATATAAATCGCGATTTGATAAGAAATAAAATATTTGACGAATTTTCATACTTAACGACCCAAGAAAGCTAAACGAGAGGTCTACATTTAGCCTAACGAGGAATAAAACACAAATAGCGGTGATAAACATATTAAACTTACGCATTTTAATAACTTGACGTTNAGGAAAATTCTGTCAGTCGCACCAGAAAAGACCTCATTGTCGAGATCAATAGCCTTGGTAGTGAATCTTTTCTTTCTTGCCACACAGCTCCAATAAAACGGATGTATCCCTACGGTCCTGCTTCTGGGGATTCTGAAGTTCCCAACACTTCTGAATATTCGTGGCGATGTTTTAAGGTCGATATCCCGGACGACGGCATGCAATTCTTCGGAAAACGTCACTACCATGCTTACGTATGTATACAGATATGTAGTTAAACTGGCCGGAAATGATGGCGATTCAAGTGCAAAATGCACCTGCATGACACAAACAGACACTAAGTAGCTCGCTCTCTAAAAGTGCAAGCCCGCCACCACGTCTCCAAGTTGGATTTGTTCCCGATAGTCCCAAATTTAACCCCTTGGCTTTGGCATGTAAATAAAGAAGTGACCAGGTTACTTTCAGTTTTTATACCATAAATTATTCTTAAATTGAAATAGTTTCTTCATAGACATGGACCCAAAGGTTGCCTTTTAAGCAAGATTAATTAACGAATAAATAGGACTAAACCTTGTATAACCGTTTTCTAAACTACTCTTTGTGGAGGCAGCGTGGCCAAGTGGTCAGCGTGTTGGACTCGCAATCCAGCGGTCCCGGGTTCGAGTCCCGCTCTGACCACCAACTGGATTTGTTTCTTGGAAGCCCCGAGTTCAAATCCTCGGCCACGCTTGTAAATAGCCAACTGGTTTTCCTCCAAGCAGTTGGGATTCTTAACAATGTTATGTTCGATTTGAATTATTTGTTTCAGTTGTTTGGTCGGCCCCACTAGCACTTGTGCTATAAACATTGCCGAGAGTAAATAACGGTTACATATATATATTTTTCACTCTAAACGTTTCTCTTCACCATCCTTTAAAATTAATTTACCGGGCAAACAATAAATCACGATTGTTTTTGGTTTGTACCTTTTTTGATCAATCAGAATCCAAACTGTTTTATGACACCAGTTACTCCACAGGTTTCAAATATTGTGCATGATCTCTTTCAGATCTGCCGCAATGGATTGTTGCTCTTCGATTCAAAATGGCTTCCTTGGTGGCCATATAACTTTGGAGAACGTTGGTGGCTGAAAAAAAGGGCCATGCTTGCTCCTTATTGGAGTTTGACTGATACATATTACTCTTTCGCGAGACACGGTGTGTCCAAAGTCTACTACCATGAATATTCAGATTCTGATCCGGGTTCCCTTCACATGATGAATACAGCCACATCAGATGTCAAAAGGCTCTTAATGAAACCTTTGCCGACAGAATTCCAAGCATCTTGGGTGATGGTGACAACGTGGGAAAATTTGCGGCCCTATCGCTATCCAACAAGCATGGCAAACATTGTAAGAGTACAAGAAGAGTATCACATTCTCGAACAACGAAATGTCATTTTATGTATAGTCTGATCCATTTGTAACGACATTCGTTCGAGCGTTTGTGATGTTTATTTTTTAATCGTTCCTTTCAACTTCCTCTATTGCCCATTAGCAAATAGAACTTTAGAAAAAGTGTAGTCTATTCCGTTTTCGTTGAAAAGACTTCTAAGATTCAACCTGAAGCTCAACTGCAAACGGATGCGTTAGATTGGCTGCTGNCTTAAGGACAACATCGTGAGCGCTCGTAATGGAAACGAATCACATCATTTGGAGGTTTGCTCATAATTTAAGACGCTTCCCAATACATGATGCAAGGGATAGCATATCCTAATTGTTCATCGTCATCAATTGGTTAGCGTGCTATACACGTGAAATTAATGCCACATTCAAGGATTTATCAGCTGCAGCTGCTGTCTGTCTATCGTTAGAGAGCCACCGTGAAGCCAGATTGCACGCTTGCTAAAAATTCCTCAATGAGCTGTGCTAAGCTGTCGTGAACAAACTAAATGAAGTCATTTTAAGTGTTTTTAGGTAGCACATTGAATTTCACTCCTTCTTCTCTCCAGTGTTTCTTAGTAGACTCTTTTTTAAAGCCACTGACCAGTAGATAAAGCGTTCACGGTCGCTCGCGGAGACGTTGATATTGATGTGAAGTGTAGCTGATTACCGCACGATACCATTTATTCACATTATGATTCGCTTTAGTTGCAATGTTTCTTATTCGTGTATCGTTTACATGGTCGACTTTGTTTTGTGACTCTAAGCTCACAGTGGTAAACCAATTCGATGTTGTTCAGTGGATGATGAATAAAGGCCTGTACACAGATTCATCGACTAACTACACCAGGACGTTAGGTACAAAAATGTACTCGCATTTTTCGATTGTAAGAGAAAGTCTACATGGTTCTTGTTTTGCAATTCGATTGTAAGGCAAACCTACGTGGCATAAATGATAATTTAGTGCGCAAAAATATTGCTTTTGTGCGGCTAGCATATGTTGACTTCGAAATCGAAATACCCGACGAATTCTCGAATGATTATTTAAAAGCCCCAGATGATTTCTTAAACACAAGAAACCATGAGGTAAACGCTGCCTTTCAGTAAAAATTATGCGCGAATTAAAAAAAGTAATGAAAAAGTTTCCAGTTGAACATGTTTGGGTTTACTGTCCGTGAGAACTAAAAAGACTTCCCTGGCTTGCCTGTATCAGGAACAAACCAATACAGAAACAGAGACCAATAGGAAGAGGAAAAATAAAAGCTATGTGCCGGGGAAAAAGATGGGAAAGATGATTCTTAAACGAAATATAGACGTAACTTAAACGATCTTAGAGCTTTCAACCAAAACATTTTTTGGCAGCCTTGGTGACTGGTTGAAATATCCACGAAAACTGAAACAGCTGGAGAACCTAGACAGAACGAATAACATAAATAAGTTCAAGAAATGATACATGCAAGCTAACCCTGACTGCTGGACAGCCATGGATGAGCAAGAGACTAACACAATACAAACTAAAATCAGTTAACATTTAAGCAGTGAAAAATTTAGCCTCTGAAGAAGAGCTTAAAAGGTTTTTTGTTTGCTCAGAAATATTTGATAATACCTATTCACATAATCATTTTTCTATTATTATAGTTCCCTTAAACTGATATATGTATTTTGTAAGGTAAACTTCCCATCGACGTTGAAGTCATCAGAAATTTGGACCGATTTTTTTCCGTCGGCTTGTGCCTCAAACGCGAAGGGTGCAGGCCATATATCCACAGAGAAAACAGATATCGGTGTCTTCAAGTACAAGCATGCATTTCATGTTACCTACACAGGAAACGAGACTTACATTACGTATAATAAAGCTCCTAAAATTGACTAACCAAAATACGGGCACTAACAAAGTGGTGCAATAAATTGTTAATAGCCGTACGTTTCAAGCATGCGTCTTATCGCTCAAGTTGTTTTAAGATTGCAAATGTCTTGCAGATTGTACTATAGATATTACTACAATTCACGTGGTTTACCTGTGGTTGGCTGGAATGCTGGTGACAAGCAAGAAAACAAATATAACGTGCAACGGTAAGCTTATGCTGAACGACATCGAAGGCTTTGCTTCTTCTTTAAGAAGAGCTACAATTTATTGTACAATTTATCGTAGTTTAGTCAGACGTCCGATCGGTCGGCTAGATGTAGTGGCCCAATGACAGCCTTAGTCACGTGAGAGAGATTCTCCTGTATTGTTATCAATTATCATAAACCTCTAGCCAATTTGTTTTTAATATTTTACATGCTGTTTTTTTCGACTAAAGGTCTGGCACTGTCAACATAGATACCATCGATGGTATAAGAGGCAACACTGACATGGTTGGAAAATGGTTCTTTAGACTTGAAGACTCTCGTGGGGAACGTAGCGAAAGGCAGGAATGTATAAAGTGGTTTAAAACGCAACCGGATCCTCGTTTTTTCACTGAATTCCTTGAGCCTTGTCCTTGCAGCTTCCGACAAGCCTGGTGGGATGAGAGGTTCACCGTGAACTGGAGAGACTGGCCAAGATTGTGTGGCTACTCTCAGTTTCCTTCAACGGATGGGTGGGGCCAAGAGTGTTGTTATTCTTCTCACTGGGAAAGCTGGGGTGCACTGCTTGTGGGAAATCCAGGAGGAGGTTCTGCGCATAGATATCACAAGCTAACACAGAAATGGAGGGCCAAACACGACTCGAGTGATGTTCTGGGTTATCAAAAGTGTTGCGTCAACACAGACATGTGTGATTTGTATTATAAAAGACGTCCCTCTGATGACTGTGGAAATTATGTGGTACCAGAATGGAGTAAGAATTGTTTCTCCGTATCTTGGGCGGATTAGTATATTTTATAAAAGAGGGCGATTCCAGTCACTTATTGAAGATAAATAATAGAACGGCTAATAGTACCTGCAAGTCTAACCATAATCTTGTTTTCAAACTCCAGCGTGCAAAAGTTCATAATAGCCGCATGTCTTGCCAACCAAATCTTTATTCGGTAGTGTTTCATTTTAATTTTATGAAAATTTGAAAATAAGGAAAGGTTTTAAAACTCGGACAAAGATTTACTTTGAATCTCCCCCAAAGCATCAGTATAATAATATGTCTTTATATTAGTAATTCAGAGAGTTTTTGTGTAATTGAGTATTTGCCCCTTTGTCTTGCTGTGCTGTATTTATAACCATTTACAAGTTTTTTTTTTCTCTCCTCCATCATGTTATTTGCAGGTTGGCTTTGGGGCGATCCTCATTTTGTCACTCTTGACGGCAAGAACTACACCTTTAATGGTCTTGGCGAATACGTCATGGTAGATGCACGGAACGGGTTTTTTAAGTTACAGGCTCGAACGAATCTAGCCAAAGGTGATGGAACAGCTACGGTTTTTTCTGCTTCAGCTGCGAAGGAAAACAATACAAGTGTTGTCCAGGTGGATTTAGAAGATGGAGGTCAGTTGTTCTTTATTTTCTTTCAAATTGTACTTGAAGAACAGTTTATTGTAGTTGACGTTAAAAGTAATTCTGAAGACAGATTGTGTTCTCCGAAAGGAGGTTTTCTTAGGCATTTATCTATACCCATATCGAAAGTGATAAACTAGTTTCAATGATATTATACTAGCTTTTGGAACAAGTGTCATCTTACACTTTTTACACGCTCGGTATGTCCCTTTTGTTAATCAGCTAGGAGTTCTTTTCTCAAATTCTATATGCAGAGCGTACGCTGGTTGTTAACAACAATGTGGTCCATTTTTATAGTGCCTAAATCCAGTGTTTAATGGCGGAAGTCCCCTGATTGATGAGTGAATGAGTCGTGACTTAAAGGGTCACTGGTTAAATTGCACTCTAGCTAGTCTACATCACACCTCGATGAGACTAAATAGCATTCTTATTAGCCTAAGTAGCACTTTGGTTAGGCTGGATAGTGGCTCTAGTAACCTGACTGGCGCCAGGTTAGCCGGAACAGCGCTATGGACAGCTTTAATAGTACTCCGATTAGCCTTAATAGCGCTCCATTTAGCCGGAATAGCGCTATGGTTAACCTGAATTACATTCAGAATAGACTCTAGAAACCTGAAGTTATATTAGCTTGTTTGTGGTTGGCTTTGAATAATGCTAATGCTAACACAATATCAACTTGAAAGGCTCATTGTCTTACTGAGTAGCTCATGACATGCTCATGGACTTATTGGACTCATAAATACTTTGGTCTCCCAAAGGCGTTTTAATATAAAACATTGACTAACAAAAAATGCTATTTATAGAAAGACACGGTGTTAAAAACGGAATATATAAACAATAAACATGTTATTCAGAGATTAATATCCATGAATTACTGTGTTGTATTATGTGCTTGTGTTCTTTTGTTAACAGGGTTAAGCCTTTTGATTGACGGAAAGAACTTTAATTACACAAGTCTCACAAATGAATCTGTCACACTTAATGGCTCAGTTGCTATCGCCAGACCAGAGAACGATTCCTTTGTAATGGCTTTCCCATCTGGAATATCAGTTACAGTGAAGGTGGTATCAGGGGCACTTTCAATTGTGTTCGCGGCGCCGAGAAGTTTCAAAAACCAAACGAAAGGTCTCTTGGGAACATGGAACGACGATCCTGAGGACGACTTCTTGACGCCTAATGGCACGATTTTGCCTTCAAACGCGAACGGCAAAGACATACATCATGATTTTGGTCTTCTCTGTAAGTTAATTTCACTACTTCTAATAGTTGCCACTGTTGTCAGTAATGTTTCTGAACCACTTAACAATGTATGCTTCAGTTATCATTCTTATGTGTTAGTTACTTTCAGCTCAATGCCGGTCTTAGCAACCATAACCTTTGGTACTTATTCAAAGTGTTTCAACAGGAGGGCGGGATGGGGAGTACCCCTTGAAGACAAACTGAGCCAATGGTATCGATACGAAAGAAACAGTTACCAATACCCATAAAAAAACAACAACCATAGCTATGGGTACCCACTCGAAATAAAGAAGCACTACTCGGTGTACATACCCAATCAAAATTGTACTAAATTTTTGTAGTTCGAGGTGTTCCAGTCTGAATATGAAGTAATTTTGTTACAGGATGAAGTACACGTAAGATTCCATGCATGCATGAAATGAGGTAGTTATGACTAGAACAGTATTAACATCGATGTTCCTCTCCTTAATTAAGGGCAAGTGGACAACATGAGCACACTTTTCACGTACAAACCAGGGGAAAACGTGGAAACTTTTACAAATGCTTCTTTTGTCCCCATGTTTCTGGAGGACCTGTACTTTGCAAACGACACATTGCGCAAACAGGCAGAGGAGGCCTGTCAAGAAGACATAAATTGCCTTTTCGACTCCGCCTCAACAAATGATGTTTCCATAGGAGCAAGTACCAAGGCACTATCTTCGACACTTGAAGAGAAATCGTCTACTCTTAGTAAGCATTTACTTTTGAATCTCTTGTGAGAACCTGCGCTATAACGCTGTACATCCTTCGTTATTGATCTTTTCAAGCGCTATTAAAAGTTTAGTCATAACTTCTTAGTAAGTACGCCATGACTGCGAATTGTCAAATGAATCTAATGGTATCGGAAATTTGATCTTGCATTGGTAAAATTCCTTTAGTGTGAGTTTTCATCTGTGTATCACATTCGTTCTAACGTACCCACCAACTCGCGCTCGTAGTTACATACAACTGCACCTACCTTTCCGCTACCAACCTACTCACCTTCCTACCTGGCCATCTTGCTACCTACCTACTTACTTACCTACCTACCTACCTACCTACCTACCTAACTACTTTCCTTCCTACCTACCTATCTAACTACGTTATTCAATGCTTCGTGGTTTAGAAAAATTTATCCATTTTACTCTTTACAGAAAACTATCCTCCACGGATTATGACAGATCTGTCACAAATCAACGTTACCGTAAATCAGAGTGTTAGTGTAACTGTGGTTGCAGAAGACCCTAATAACGACACCTTGAGCTTCTCCATCATTGGTGTTCTGCCGTCTGACGCTGTTTTGCTAAACAGTTCCAACTCTATAACAATAACGTGGAATGGAACTATGGAGCAGGCAAGATTACCAAAAACTGCTTTTGTTTCAAAAAGTGTAAATGTATTTATTCTATGTTTGATGTTAATCGTTGTAAAGGAGTTTAAGAAACCAGGACGCGACGCCGGGGACAACGTCGATTAAAAAGTGATTTTGTATTTTACCTACGAAGCTCGCGATGCTGTAAAGTCATTTTCCTTTGTTTCTTAGTGTCAAAACCATCACGAAATTGGATCTAGGACAGGGCGAAGCATTTGAAATGGAAAAAAAAAAAAATTAGCCGTCATGGTTCATGTTTTCTGGACAACGCAGAATTTGGTCATTTCACGTTGTTGTTTTGTAGAGGATGGCAAAGAAATGTACCAAGAATTATAACGCACGCGCACAGCCATTGCCAGTTCTGCTCATTAAACCTTTTGTTTAGCGGCGTTCACTTTGCCGTTGCCGTCGTGGTTTTCTTAAACTCCCTAATTATGTGCCACGTGAGAACGGATTTGGATTTATACGAACGTTGCCTGAGATAAATATTGTTTTTGCAGATTCACATCGAATTTGTGGTAAAAGACAGCCAGGGGGCAATAGCATTTTTGCGGCCAATCATCAACCTTTGCGCTTGCCTAAACAACGGTCTTTGTTATCAGTCTACCGACAACAGAAATTCAACACAAAACAATGAGATGAACGTACTTCAATGTGAATGTTTAAATGGGTATACAGGAACATCCTGTGAAAGTGATCTTGACGCGTGTGAAGCAAATCTTAATCCGTGCTACCCTGGCGTATCATGTGTTGATCTTCCTCCTCCAGCAAACATATCCGGCTATAAATGTGGACCTTGTCCGAGCGGTTTCACAGGAGATGGATCCAAATGTGAAGGTTAGCCTCATCGTATTTAATCCAAATATCCCTCTTGCGTTTGGTTTCTTGAGACAAAATCAATATAGTTCTTTTCCGGGAGAATGGAAGTAAATTTACAGACTCATGGAGTTCGACCTCTTTCTAATGTTCATTGAATATATCCTTTCAGTGCAGCCTGGCAATTGGTTGCTCGGTTAGCTAGTTTGCATTTTCCCTACTTTTATCAGTTACTCTAGTCTTTGCATTCGGAACCTCTTGCAGGCGACCACCTCTCACACACAACGGCGACCACTCAGAGCTTGTAATTATTTGAAACTTTTCCCTGTAGGCGTTCACTTGAGCAACACTTTAACGATCAATGCTATCCTATTTATGATATTCGTTGTTTGCCATATAGAAATCACCATTGGCTTAGTATAACTTTTCTACCCTGTAGGTACTATATGCAGGAGGGGAAAAATGATACCAATATTAGAAATGTTGCCGTTAATTTTAAGATATTGCTTTCTAATTGTGCTATACCTTTCGTTACAGATTTTGATGAGTGTTTAAACAGTGGTCCGAGTGAATGCAAACAAATCTGTATCAATACACCAGGCTCGTTCGTATGTGATTGTTACAAAGGGTATCTACTCAATATCGACCAACGCACTTGTGACGGTTGGTGTTATCCAATATCTTAGATATTTTGCCATCAGAAGTACTTGATCAGCAATCTGTTTCACATTGTGTGTCTCTGTGTATCTAGTAAACGGCTTTGTCGAAATAATTTTAGAAGCAGAAAGGAAAAGAAAAGAAACGCACGCTCAATACTTTCTTTCCTTGTTCGTTAATTTTTCCTCACGCGGAATTCTTTTTCAGTTCTTTCCCCTGCCAACAACAAAAGAATCTATGACAGGCAATCAATGGCTTCGACCTCGTACAACACACCCAACCCTGTCCTGTCGACAGTGCACTGTCACAGCATTGATAATTACGTTTGTTTCCCAACTTTTAGATATAAACGAGTGCGTCCCTGCTAGTGACTGTATGCACAAGTGTAAAAACTTTGATGGTGGATACAACTGCAGTTGTGATGATTTCTTCAAGGTGGATCCTGTAAATTCCAAGAACTGCATACGTACGTATATTTTAATCTAGTTTTTAAAATACTACACTTTCGATGGGAGGTATATTCCTTAAAGCATTACGACAACAAATTAATAGGTAGACGTCTACGAAACGTTATGGGGAAAAAAACAATGAGTGTTACACAGAACGTTTTACTGCATTATACGTTTTTCTTCAACGGAATGTATTCCTCTTGTATGGATACAACTGGAATCTATCAAGCCGAGGCAGCAGTTCCAGAGCAACACATGCACATTTGGGTTAAAGGTTTGGGAACAAACTTTAAATAATCATACTAATCAATGATTTCTATTATTACAGCGGAGTCTCCATGTCAGGACGGGAATCATGACTGTCAGCACATCTGCTTTCTCAGCTTAAACAATATTCAGAACTGCGCTTGTAGACGGGGATATCTTCTCGCCGATGATGGAAAAACGTGTAAAGGTGCGAATAAGCGAATAAGAGTTTTCCTTGCTAATAACTCAATGAATAAAATAAATATTTTTTATTGACCACTTCACCAATGAGGTTTTTTATGGCCAATGGAAACAAATGTTGAAAAAGTAATGCAATTAAAAAAAACGTGGTTAAAGATCACAACTGGCAGGATGCAGGCCCGTTGGCTATTTGCAATCGTTATCCAGGGGCTGAACTAGGAACTACTGAGAACAACACCAGCTAGTGGTACATAGTCAGATAGGGACTTGAACCCGCGACCTCCGGATTTCAAGTCCGACGCCCTAACCTTTCAGCTCCACTTCCTTCACAGAGTGTTCTGCCCAAGTAAGTATGTGAAAAAACCATGTACATTGTTATTTAATCGACTCGTCAGGAGGATAAAGTTTATTAGGAAGTTTGATCTCAAAGTTTAACCTACCAAGCTTCAACATTTGGATTAGCAACGAACTTTGGATTTAAAATGGCGGTCAAGCCCACTATTTTGCCGGCCCAGAAACAAGTCTCTGGTTAAGGAATTTTACCCCATGTATCTCTTTACATCTTTGACGACTCCCACTGAAAATTTAAATAAAGAATCGGTTCATGCTTTGCGTGCGTATATCGAGTTATGGATGCACGCGTGAAGTTTGGAGAGCATGAGAGAAGCGTAAGAGTTGCTCGAGGCCCAGCCGAGAACAACTCTAGCTTCTTGAGTGTTCTACAAAGTTCCCAAGTGCATCCATAACTCGATATACGCACAGCTAAAAGCACGAACCAATTCTTTTATAACATAGCGACAGCAACTTTTGCGCTAACAGATTTTTAGTTGTTCTCACAATATGAGACAAAGGATCCTATTGGTCGGTTAAAAACATTTCACAATCATTTGAGCAACAGTTGAACGAAAGCGCTTCATCTGGTTTCTAAAATTGTCAATGGAAAACTCGCTTCTTCGAATTAATGAAAATGTAGGCAAACAAAGTCAAAAATACTCAATTACAATGTAGACGAACAAAGTCAAAACACTCAAGTTTTTAGTAAGCATCTTAACTTGGCAAAAGTCAAAGGCTCGAAGGTTTGAATTGTTCAGAATGATGTTTGCTCTACTGATTTAACAAAAGGAACCTTCAGCTTAACTCGAAGGAACTTTGCAGCTAAAATAAAACTGCGCGCGTCACATTATTTACTCAGGGCCGTGCGTAAATAGAGGATTTTACCATGATGGCTCAATAGGAATTAGAGAGGACCAGCTCGCGCGCTATGTTATAATAAGCTTCTGGTTATAATCATTATAAAACAATAACAAATTTTTTTCCAGTATTTTATTTGTTCCTTTGTTCTTTTTGCTCCCTTTAGATAATGATGAATGCGCAACGGATGAAAACAGGTGTAACCAAAAATGCAACAACACAGAGGGAAGCTACTTGTGTTCATGTGTAAACGACTTTAGACTGGACACTGACAACGTCACATGCAAAGGTAGGGATTAGAGCAAAGAAAAGAAAAATGGTGCTGCCGACAATAAAAGCGTGGTAAATAGACATGTTTGCTATTAACGGAACGTTCCAGCTGAACGTTGCTGCAATATGTAAGAATTAACACTAACTTCCACATCAAGAAGTAACAATTAGCGTCACAATTGCCTGTAAATACTAAAGGAAGAATGATGCCGTTCACTTTTCATGAAATCTTTTGTTTTGGTTTAGACATCGATGAGTGCTTGGAATGGNGTCACAATTGCCTGTAAATACTAAAGGAAGAATGATGCCGTTCACTTTTCATGAAATCTTTTGTTTTGGTTTAGACATCGATGAGTGCTTGGAATGGACATTTCAGTGTTCGGACGCCTCGCAGCGCTGCGTGAACACCCAAGGTTCTTACAAATGTAAATGCGAAGATGGACTTTACTGGATTAACGAGACTTGCAAAGGTGAGAGCTTTGGCTCTGAAGTTTTGGTCTAAAGACCGACAACTTCGGTCGACCCATCGATCGAATGTAGGCCGATGTATCGACCGACACACGGACCGCATGTTGACCGATATCGTCGGCCGATAGTCGACCGACTTATGCCTTAAGTACATATAGCATAAGAATTGGAAAAGTCGGACGTTAAAAATTCTATACCAAGCCAATGACTAGAATGCCCTGTATAGTTCAGAAAATCTTAAACCGAAGTCAACGATGAACTAAAATTCCTAGTGCGAAATTGATTTTTCTCGCTAATCGGTGTCTCTTCTCGGGTCATACAGTAATTAAATACTTAATACTATTAACTATTTTTGAAAGCTTATAGGCGTTTTCGGTTCTTTCTTTCTGAAGGTCTCGGTAAAGGTGAAGAACCACCGCCTCCACCACCAGCACCGACTCCAAGAAAGCCATCTCTTGAGGAAACACTTCAATCAGTTATCATCACTTTGGAGGGGCTTAGTGCTAGTCAGGTGCTTTCTTTTAATCCCCAATAACATATATAATATGGTTTATTTGAAATTGTGATAAATTTATTACTTCATAGGGATGTGTGGAATGGACGACGATGTATTTTTAAAATAACTGAAAAAAATCAAATCGTCAGGAATTTGGTAAAGGTCGCACAGAAAGCTCTAACTAGAGACCTTTTCAGGCTTCAACGTGATTCAAAACCTCCAAGGCCTTAAAAAAGAAGTCTAAAAGAAGAATCATGATTCACGTTCTATTCCGGCAAAGCCAAGTCTGTAATTTCTGAGCTGAATAATAACCAGAAATTTCTGCAGAGCATTTGGAGTTATCTCTCATTTATATAATCATATATAAATATCGCAACTAGTAAGCGCAAGGACTGAAGTAAGTCGGTAATAAGGAATAAGCAAGGAGCTTAGAGATAGACGAGTCATTAAGTTTGCAGTTGATATTCAGTGATTTTCTCGCCTTTACCAATTTTTTTAGTGGAACTTACCTAAAGAGGAAGATTTCAAGGGAGCTGTTGCAGATTCCGTTACTACTTTCTGTGCAAATGTTGGGGATTGCATAACTGAAAGGAACCGACAAAGGTTTTTATACAATCGTGATTTAGTCTATGTGCGTTTTCATTGCGTAATGCCGGAACTGATTTGAATATTTTATCCTTATTCAGTACAGTCTCGTAATAAATAAAACTACAAAGTAACCTAGCTATATGGAGATTTACCGGGCTTTAGTAATAAAATTAAATGATTCGGTTTGGTAAAGGTTTTGCACAGTGCATCAATTACTGACGGCCCTTTTTTCTGGACCGTGAAAAGCAAATGTTCAGTCGGTAAGGCCAATCATAAATTTCTATACGAACCTATGCTGTCTGGGCTAATGCACTGACACAGACGACTATGCAGGCTAATAATGTCTACTCGAGAAAAAAGAGTCTCAAGCCGTCGAGTTTTTTCGGGTGTCCGTAGCATAAAGCAACAAAGTGGATTTCTACGTAAGTCCATCATAGAGTCCACTCAAGTATCTGCAGGTACCCATTTATACACTTAAGTGGTGAGAAGCGTTTGTTAAAGAGCGCAACGCAGTGACCCTGGCATGTTCCGGAACCCTGACAGCTCGATTTGGAGTCCAGTGCACTAACCAAGAGGCTCCCCACTTTCTAGGGACACTTATTAACGTTGTATCTCAAATGACAATACCGACCACTGACTAAAAAAAATCTTTTTGTTTGGTTTTTAGGAGAGCGTTGGACTACATCATTTTTACGTCTGATCAAGTCCACCTTCTTCCAGGATTTCCAGAACAAGATGTTCATCCTCTACGGATTCGCCTCGCGATTTATGTCCAGTTTCCTCCAGGAGTGGCTCAAGACTCCAGTACCACCCTGACCAAGAACACATTGCTTACTGTCATCAGTGAATCTCGTGAAAAGCTGGAGAAGGCACTGAACGTGACCATAATAAACATAACAGCTGCTTTCTTTGACGCTTCCACGGAGGGCAGTTCCACAGTGACTCCACCCGTCTATCGTGAGAAAACGATGAAGGACTATTTCATTATTGGAGGCGCAGTAGTTGGATTCCTTTTTGTTGTCGTACTCTCTGTTTTAATCTTGCGCAAGTACGTCCCTTCACAGTTTTATAACCTTAAAGGACAAACAGCGTCATGTCATGTCATGTCAAATAGGTCACGTAAATTAGACGTTTCCGGCGTAACCGTTCTTCAGTATTTTGAACATACCGAAGAAGGCCCAAGCCTAAAACGTCTGGTTTACACGAGCTACGTTACACTTAAGGTGGCTGGTACCAGTTTTCTCGCGCGGGGAGTAGATCACCATCGTGCGTCACGTGTGAGTAACACGCACGATAGGGGCGCGAGATTTAAAACCGGAAAAACCAAACAAATATGGCGTCGCGCGGCTTTTTTCGCGCAAGGTCACTTTTGTAGTGTTGGA